TAGTCGCTAAATCTATCCATAATATCTTTGAAGTTGTTTATTAATATGGTTGGTGGGGATTCATGTTTATTAAATTTTGATAGATCAGTAATTACTGGTGGTTTATTTACAGTCCATGGAGGAGGAGGGATTTCGGAAGGATGGTATATTGACGGGAATTGTATGCTATATTTATGAAGTAATCGGTTAATTCGTTCATAGAAAGGCGGATTACATTGAGGATGAGATGAGAAGTAGTGGCTAAAACGATTGCTGTGAACGTTATGGTATACTGGATTATCTAGAGAGGATAGAACTTTACAAGCAAACGACAAACTTAAAAAATCTGTTCTAAATTCCAAAGGGGTTTGCCCTGATTCACTACATATACTTAGTATGGGGCTTGTTCGAAAGGCACCCAAAGCGACTCGCAGTCCCGTATTTTGGATTACATCTAGTTCTTTAAGAACAGATTTTTTGGCTGAGTTATATATCACTGAGCCGTAGTCAATTTTTGATCGAACTAATGATGAAAAGATTCGTAGAAGAGTTGCCGTATCGCTGCCCCAGTTGATGTTCGACAGTGTCTTCAAAATATTAATGCTTTGCTGGCAAGTACCTTCTAGATTTTTAATGTGACTTTTCCAATTCAATGTTTTGTCAAATGTAAGACCGAGAAACTTTATTTCTTTTACGAAGATCAGATTTTTACCATTCAATGTTAAAATTGGATTATCCTCTTTTCGCTTTTTTGAGAAGAGCATGCATTTTGTTTTTTCGCTAGAGAAACTGAGTCCTGTTTTGTCAGACCATTTCTGGAGATTATTTAATGCGCTTTGCAGGATTCTTTGGTTGGATTCTAGATTTGTTTCTCTTAGTAGGATAACCAGATCGTCTGCGTATAGTCTTGCTTTTACTGGATGTTGACATTGTTCCAAGATATCGTTAATTGCAACAAGAAATAAAGTTACACTTAATACCGATCCCTGGGGGACTCCATTTTCCTGGATTCGATTTGATGATAGTGTTCCATTTAATCGTACTTTAAATGTTCTAAGTTGAAGAAAATTTTGAATAAATTTTAGGAATTGTCCATTAATACCCCAGGAGTGAAGCGTTTCTCCTATACCATATCTCCATGTGCAATCGTAGGCTTTTGTTATATCGCAGAAAATAGCTAGACAGTGTTGTTTGTTAATAAGTGCTTCGTGAACTTCGGATTCAAGATCAACTAGGTTGTCCGTCGTTGATCTATTTTGACGAAAGCCGTTTTGCTCCGCGATAAGCAATTTTTTATCTTCCAGAAACCATGTAAGACGACGGTTTATATTATTTTCAAATAGCTTACAGGTTGACGAGGTTAGGGATATTGGTCTATAGGACTGGGGATCTGTTTTCGGTTTTTGGGGTTTAGGGATTGGGATAATATATGATTCTGACCAAGACTTTGGAAAGTAGTGCTGAATCCACATTTGGTTCAAAACATTAAGGAGGTATATTCTAGTATTTGTGTTTAGTTTTTGGAGAAAAATTATTGGTATATCATCTGGACCCGGAGAAGAGTTTTTTATGCCAAATAATGCATCGTCCATTTCTTCCAGTAAAATTGGCGAATTCATGTAGTCTTCCGTGTTCTCTGTGATCATTATCTCCTTTTCATTTCTAAATTTAAATTGAAGAAAATTTGGAGAGTAGTTGTTAGTGCTGGAATTTTGTTCGTAAAGGTCTGCAAACATTTCTGTGATTTCTTGTGTTGAGGTAATAAATTGATCATTATGTTTTAAGAAACTAATTTCGGCGTTTTGCTGTTTTCCAGATAGTTGACGAATTTTCCTCCATAATGCAGAGAGGGGAGTAGAGTTGTTAATGGATGCCACGAAAGATTTCCAGTTTTGTTTTTTAGTTTGCTTAATTTGATATCGAGATTCAGCTCTTAGTTTTTTATATTCTATTTGATTTTGTGTAGTAGGACATCGTCTGAATTTGTTAAAAGCTCTCTTGTATTTTTTATGGCTTCGTCACATTTAGTATTCCACCACGGTACTGGCGTGTGAGTTTTTAGAGTTTTGGTTTTTCCGACTGCTTTGTGGCCTGCTTTTAATATTAACTCAGAAATTTTAGATAAGTTGAAGATATATTTGAGGTACTAGGGTCAGGGAGATATGGGAGTTTTTGGTCTATTTGGTCTGAGAAAGTGTCCAATTTGCCTGGTCTAATTTCCATTTTGAGAGAGGAGTAGTTAAGGCGGTTTTAAAAGGACGAGTTACAAGAATAGGAAAGTGATCACTCCCGTATAAGTAGGGATGGACTTCCCAATTTAAAGGTGTTTGTAGGACCGGATCGCACATGCTCACGGATCGCACACACTAACTGAGGATTCTCCTGTCTGTATATTAAATCTTGTGGGTTCCCCTGTATTCAAGATGTTTATATTGTTACTGTCAAGTAATTGTTCTAGTACTTTTCCTTTTAGTGATCGAAATTTGGATCCCCAGTAGGGGCTATGACTATTAAAATCTCCTAAGAGTATACGGGGAGATGGGATCTGTTGAAGTAGTTCTTCAATTCCGGCAGTTAAAACATTTTCACTCGGTGGAATATAAATGTTGCATATTGAGATCTTTATATTACTATTAATTGTGATTGCAACAGCTTCTAAGGATGTATTTAATGGTATTAGTTCTGCTTCGTACATTTGGTTGATATAGATTGCTACTCCACCACTTGCTTTATCTCTATTGGTCCTGTTTTTATAAAAGCATTTAAATCCCTTTAACCTTGCATGGTAAGAATCTTTGAAATGAGTTTCTTGAAGGCAAATAACTAATGGTGTTTGTTGAGCAATTAACTTTTGTAACATTTCGCAACGAGTGTTGTACCCGTTGAGATTCCATTGTATTATACATCTGAATGTTAAGTACTTAAGTTTTCTTGAGAGGATGAGAGTTCGCTGTCCATTGATGCAGATGTTCTGTAGAGTTGATGCTGTAATTTTCTTTTATGTTTGTGATTTTTTTTCTCACTTTTTTGAGCTTTGAGTGTACATAGTATCCAGACCCTTAAGGAAACCTGGTACATTGTCTGTATAGGTTTTAAGAAGATCCAATATGTCTGCGTTGTGTGGGGCTGAAAAAATTTTAAAGTTTGGTTATAGTTCAGTGTAAAATTGTTTTTATTGTCTTCAAACATTTGTTGTAATGGTTACATTTCATCGTGAATGGATTTTTCCGGTTTTATTTTCTTAGGTTTGGGTTTTTGAAATGTGGGTTGTTTGTGGAGGTCTTCATGCGGTGGTGTAGACTCTGACATTTGTCGTTTAATGGAAATCGTTGAAGTTTCTTGGGCTATCGTTTCAGATGTTTTCATTGGTTCCGTATTCTGTTTATTTCGTTCTTTGGTATTTACATTGACATTTTGATTAACTGAAGATGCGCTTATGTTTTGACAAGATTCATCATTAGACGCTAGAGTGTTGGCGGCTTCTGTGCATTGGGCGAAATTCTCTAATGAAGTTTGCTCGTTATGTTGTAGAAGTGATCATACTACAGCTAAGTGACCTGATTGTTTACAAGAAAAACATTCAAAGTTGTCGGTTGCTACGAAAATTCTGTATGGTGTATTGTCGAAATTTATTATGAAAGAAGCTGGTAATGTTGCATTGTTTTCTAAAGGAGTAATATACGTTTGTCGGCGAAAACTGAGAATATGACTAAATTCTGGGCGAGACGCGTTTATTTTAAGAAAGATGATAGGCGATAATAGATTTAGACCTAGCTTTATTAGCTCTGCTTCTAAAATAGAATGTGGTATGCTAGGGCATACATTGGATAAAACAATTCTTTGACTTGGAGTGATTAATTTGCGGGCAGTGAGAACTTGATTGTTGACTTTAATTGAACCATAATTTTTTAAGAAATTATCTACTAGTTCTTTTGAAGATAAGTAAATGCATATTCTATTTTGAGAAATCCGTGAGGCGAAAATAATATCTTTAGAATTTACAATACTGCCCAAGGCTATTAGATAATCTTCAATTTTTACATCGTCAATGGAAGTAAATAAGATGGCTTGCTGTTTATCGGGAAATTTGGATGATGTTTGATTTTTTGTTGTAATTGATGCGTATGATTGGGAATTGTATTGAGTTGAATTACTAGGTATGGGAAGGTTCAGAGGAGGGTTAGGGACATGGTCCCCTGGATTTTTGTTATCCATTATTTAAACGCCACATTAATAATTTAAATTGTGGCTGAGTGCGGTACTGTTCACCTGAAGAACTTGTTTTGATATTTCAACTTATCAAAATTTCGAAAAATGATGGGTGTTTTTTGATTGACAATAAATGTTTATTGTCAATATGTCGATTGACAATAAAATGTAATATATGTAAACAAACTTTGTTTACTTACTGGTTTTTGCAGATTCAACCGTTGATTTTAGATGAATTTGATTATAACACTGTTTTTATTGTTCTGAAGCTATTTTCTTGTGGCATTGTAAATTAATTATTATTTATAACTGGGAATAAGCCACAGTTAAAGATAAAAATACGTTTATTGACGTTTCAATTTCAATTCGGAAATCAGAACGATTTCCGAATTGGAAATTGAAACGTCAATAAACGTATTTTTATCTTTAATTGTGGCTTATTCCCAGTTATAAATAATAATTGACACTGTTTTTGTTTAATGAAAACTAATTAAGTAAATACTTAATGTGTTTTACTTTTTTAAACTCGATAGCTTTGGAACTCGTATTAAATACGTCTATTCACTTTGCTGTCTCGATGGGAACTCCTTGTTTGAAATTGTTTTGTTTTACGTTATATTGTACGTATTTTTTTTTGTTTGAGTGAGTTTAATTTAATTAAAATCGATGGAGAATCTTTCGGTGATGGTGGTGATGGTGGCACTAAATTGTCTGTCGAACAGAAAGAAATTATGGTGGCTTTTTTCGAGGACCATCCTGATTTTGCTAAGGGCAAACTCCTTGGCCATGATGTCAAGGAAAGAAAGAAGGCAATGTGGGAAATTTTAAGTACCCAATTAAATGGTGTATCTGGGACCAAAAAAAGTAGCCAAAAATGGCAAAGAGTAAGTACATACTTTGAGTTGAGCATAAATGCTGTAGATACTTTATATCGCTTAGAATTTTTTTTGTTTAAATTTTTGATTTTAAACATCACAAGACAAAATACCTATTTCATATAATTATTTTTTGTTGATAGGTATGGATTGACTTGAAAAATAAAGTAAAAAAGAAGGCCGGTGTTATAAAAAATAGCAAGGCACAGACAGGAGGAGGTCCTCCTTTTAAAGAGATGTTGACTGATCTAGAAGAAAGGATTATAAGGATAATTTGGGACGCTGCAATAATTGGGTTAAGCAGTTCAAGGGATGATCCTTTGGACAATGAGGATGTAAATCAACCCTCAGAGGCACTTGACATAGATTATGATGATCACGAAGCATCAAGCAGCATCATCACTGCTGGTATATCAGATAGTGAACCAGATGTGTTTGAAGAACATAATTACACTTCAAGTTTTTTTGGTAGTATGATATTTAATGTTTGACTAGACTAATGTTTTTAATTTGAGAACGATTTCCGAAGTGGAAATTGAAACGCCAATAAACTTACTTTAACCTTTAATTGTGGCTTATTCCCAGTTAAATAGTAATTAATTTAAAATGCCAAAATAAAATAGCTTCAGAACAATGATATGTTAATAATTCGTACAAAAATTTTATTACAATAATTAAATCAAAAACTCTTTTCAGACACCAGAAAACCCAAGAAAGCGTAGGCTGTTAAGTGCTGGAAGTTCATGTAGCTACAATGAGGTTTTCCCTAAATCTACTAAAAGTAGGACAGGTATGTACTTTGATATATTATATATATAATATATATATAATATATATATGTTATATATATATATATACTATATATATATATATATATAGATATATATACCGGATATAGGACTGTCGATTTAAACAAACAACACAGTTTATTAGGGCTGCAGTCAGAAGTTTGGCCGGGACGTTACAGAAACACTCTTTTGACTTTTGGTCTAGCTTTCGGAATTGTTTTATTACTTTTTCAATACACTGTAATTAGAAGAATGTGTAAATATTTACAATATATCACAAATTGTCAGTGCAACTTACTAGTTGTGGAGATTATTTATATAAAGCTATGACACTCAACATTTAAATAACACACATTTAAAATATAATGTGTGTGTTTTGTTATTTCCTGACCGTGAATATTTAAATAAAAACTTTTTTCCTGGGTTTGTCTGTCTCTTGTAAATAACACTAATTGTTGCTTAAACATTTCAGCAAATATGACAATTTCAAGTAGCACTTTATTATACAAACAGTACATTATATAATTAAAAAGTGTAAACATGAACTTTAATTATGTATTGTTTATAAAATAAAGTTCGGCAAATTTTCCGAAACATTTAAGCCAATAATTAATAGTTTTATTTACACCAGACCGCCAAACTCAGGAAATAAAAAAGTTTTTTATATATGTATGTATTCAGTTTATATATATATATATATATATATATATATATATATATATATATATATATATATATATATATATAATTTACAATTTATTGTATTGGAGTATTGGGTATGCTGTCTGTTATTTAAAAAAAACTCATTTTTCTTTTATTATATACTCTATATTTCGCTGATTTTTTGTCAGCTTCATCAAGAGACAACTAAAATATGGTTAAGATTTAAATAAATATCAGGTGAGAATAAACAATGATTTACTTACAGATTTAGAGTTAAAAATATTTAAAAATATTGTACATATAAAATATTGTACATGTACATTTTTAAATATTTTTAACTCTAAATCTGTAAGTAAATCATTGTTTATTCTCACATGATATTTATATAAATGTTAGTAATAAAAAGAAAAGAGTTTTTTTAAAACCCGATTTTCTTTACCCAATACAATACTCCAATACAATGAATTGTTATTTATGTTTTGGTCGACAACCTACTTTTTAATATATATGCTATATATATATATATATATATATACTTAAACCAAGCTTATAAGCTTAAGTCCTTTGATTTGTTTCAAGTACTTTTCATTCAATTAATAATTTTATGTTTTTTTAGTTCAACCAGCAACATCTGCAGCACAAGCAGCAACTAGGTTTGCTAAAATTGGTGAAGTGTTGAACCAGAGAATGGAGTCGATCGATAACAAACTGGAACAACTGATCGAAGAAAAAAACAAACTAACTCCATTTTAAGGAGTATTACAACTGCAATTGAAAACTTAAGAAAATAATTGTTTTGCATTAATATTAATAATTTTTTCATTAGTTATAGACTTTTATTTTAATTATCCTGCAATTATGTTTAGGTGTTTCAATACTTGAAAGTTTCAAGCATACTCCGGTAAGACACCAAGTATGGATAAGAACTATATTTTCTAACATATAGAATCTTAAAAACCTCGTTTGTACCTTTTCAATTAAATCTATATTTAATATTCTATCATCTTAAAACGTTTGGTGTTTCTAATTATAAATCCTAACATTAAGTTAGGCTAAAGCTATTTTCTTGTGGCATTGTAAATTAATTACTATTAAACTGGGAATTTACTGTTTTGTATTTTGAGAACGATTTCCGAAGTGGAAATTGAAACGTCAATAAACGTATTTTTATCTTTAATTGTGGCTTATTCCCAGTTTAATAGTAATTAATTAAGTTAGGCATCACATAAGTTTCTGGTAAAAACAGTTTGAGGGTTTTTTTTCCAGTAACTTTGATATCTTCTTCTTCAAGTTCCACTCCTATCGGAGATTGGAAATCATTCTGGCAATTATAATTTTATTGGTTACTCACCTGAATAGTTCAATTGAACTGCATCCAAACTATTCACGGAGATTGCGTAGCCACGAGATTTTACGTCTTCCTACGCTTCTTCTACCTTTGATTTTACCCTGCATTATATTCCTTAGTAGTTCGTAACTTTGATATCAAAAGCACATAAATGATAAGTATGATCTGATTTGATTTATTATGTATACAATGAAATAACTTTGATAGTAGTTTTGATAGCCTGTATATCTTGGCCGTATAGATAATTTAGAGATATAAATATATATATATATATATATATATATATATATATATATATATATATATATATATATTGTTATGATATGTAAAATCGAGAAAAATATTGGTTTGCTTAAAATATTTCAAAGTTACAAAAAATTAAAATAATTCAGATAAGTAGGATAATAAACAACAAATATTTCGAAGAAGGAAAGTCTTTAAATTATTGGATTACCTGTATTTAACAAAACGTAAGATATGCAGAAATTATTTTATGCTAATATTATATACTAGACAATGGAAGCAGTTTTTCCAAATAAATGTTGTGCAGTAATTAGGACAATAGAATAGATTTTAGAAAGATATGTTTTTGTTAGTTCTTAAGAATTGGTAGGAAAATATTATTTTGTAAATAAGTTTTAGGAAATTTTATAATTGTAGGTAAAAATTTGTGTGTTATCGAAATGAAGAAATGGGAGATGTATGACGCGTTTTGATTGGATGAGATTGAAAAAGGTGGGAGGTTTGGTTTGAGAATGAGACGTTAGTTAGTTTTGGAAAAAAAAGATAGTCAGTTGGTTTCCAAGGGTGCAAGGCGAACGGCCGTTGTTCTCGGGTAGTTTTCCAAAGGTAGGAAGCAGTAGCAGTGAAAGTTTGTGAGTTTTCGTGTAGTTAGTGTATCTAACAGAAGCTGATCCAGTAAAAGATTGTCAGTTATATTTTCTACTTATATTCCAAGAGTTACTGTTCAGGCCAACGAAAGATTCAGTTTATCGTAAAGAGAAGATATTCCAAGAGTCATTTTTTACTCAGGCCAACGAGAGATTCGGTTTATTGAGAGAAGAAGAAGCTAGCATAATTTGAACGATTCGTGCATTTAAGGAGATCATTGAGGACGATAAACTTGCAATAATTTGTTGTAAGATTGCTGATTACCTAGGGTGCTGCTAAGAATAGATAGTGTAGGCTACAAGGAACAGGGCTTTGGACCAGTCATCATCATAGAGAGATTTTTGAGAGAGAGTTTTGTTTTTCTGCAGTTTTTCTTTCATTGATAATACAATTTTTACAATTACTTTGGAAAAGATATACATATTTTGATTAGGACATTTAAAATAATAATTGAGATTTTAAGAGTTTAACTAATATTGTTTGTACCATTAATTTTGAAGGTTCACATACGTAGAACAAAATTTTGAGAATCATTATATGAGGTATTGTTTATTGACAACATTTGAGTGTGAATTTTATTTCATTATTTTTATTTCAATATATAATGTTAGATCCTATATGTTTTTTATTATTCCGGTATTCTTTGGACCTTACCTTTCACATGTAATAGCATAGATATTGAAGCACGAATATAACCCTGAGATAAGAGATTAAAAAGTGTGATAGAATCATAGTCATATCATTTAAATAATTTAATTAATTAGCTAATTAATTGCTTGGCGCACTAAGACTTTAAATATCACAATAATATATATATATATATATATATATATATATATATATATATATATATATATATATATATATATAGAGTGTGTATAACGACGCTAAGAATACAATTCTTTGGAGGGTAACTTTCGGGAAAGCGTCAAAACAAGGATCAGCTAGAGATGGTATAAGCCAGCTTGGTGTAGAACTTTATTCTATATGTGAAATTTTCGGTGATATGTTGTCACCTTCATCAGCACCTAAATGGAAAACCTATTATAGTACAGTGGTGGAAATCAACATTTAAAAACCTACATTGAAAATGTTCAGTTGGTCCTAGTTGTAAAAAACACTGTCACAAACATGTTAAAAATATTAAAAAATACATTTAAAATTTTGAATAAAAACATTACAACAACAGGGTAGTTTTTCAAGTTGTGTTTGTATTTGAAAAACTACCCTGTTGTTGTAATGTTTTTATTCAAAATTTTAAATGTATTTTTTAATATTTTTAACATGTTTGTGACAGTGTTTTTTACAACTAGGACCAACTGAACATTTCAATGTAGGTTTTTAAATGTTGATTTCCACCACTGTACTATAATAGGTTTTCCATTTAGGTGCTGATGAAGGTGACAACATATCACCGAAAATTTCACATATAAAATAAAGTTCTACACCAAGCTGGCTTATACCATCTCTAGCTGATCCTTGTTTTGACGCTTTCCCGAAAGTTACCCTCCAAAGAATTATATATATATATATATATATTATATATATATATATATATATATTAATTAATTAAAATGTTGATCCACATAATTTTGTCGACTTTGTTGACCCAAATTTCTTAGTACAACACCTTGTTGGTCTAAGATGGGAACTGGAAGTGGCTCAAGATCAATCTCGTTCCAAAGGGGATTGGGTCTTCTACCCTATAATGACTGGCAATGTTATGCAGGATTGCACAGGCTAAAACTATTCTTGCAGTCTTATGTGGTGAATAGTGTAACACCCTATCTTTTAAAAGGCATCTGAATCTTCCTTTGAGGAGTCCAATGCACCGTTCTACTACACTTCGAGACCTTTTAAACCTGTCATTAAAATTTTCTTGCCTTGGTGTATTTGGATGAGCAAATGGTACCAATAACCAAGGAAGACATGGATACCCTGAATCACCTGTAAAAAACCACAATGAATATTTTAGTCTGGTAAATACTAGTATAAAAATAAGGTACATAGAATATAATATATAAATAATCACATACCCATTATTCTGTCATCATGTTGACCATTATCATAATTAGCACGCAAAGCTCTTCCAATTCGGCTTGCACGCCAAATAAATGCGTCATGAGTGCTACCTGGCCACTGGGCTAATATATTTATGATGTTCATGTCTGCATCACATATCTGCAATCAAACAAATAATTATTGTAGAAACTGACCTAGTTCATAATTTGTAATTCTTACTATTTGACAACATATGTTAATTTTCTTTAGGCTTCACTATAGCTACATGGGTTCCATCCACAACTCCGATGATTTCTTGCATATTAATTACATTGTGAAACCTTTAAAAATATATTTTATATAGTATATATATATATATATATATATATATATATAATATATATATATGTGTGTATATATATATATATAGTATATATATATATAATATATAATATTATATATAAATATATATATATATATAAATATATATATATTTAATATATATATATATAATATAATATAAATCCATAATATTAATCACAATATTACCTGGCTTTTTTTAATTTCTTTCCACATCATTTCTTGGATATTTAATCCATCTTCTTGTCAAATGGCTTGACCTGACACTATACGCTCCTGTTAAAAAATTGTTAGCGAGGCCCCGTTGGTAGCTCCCAACACCATAAAAATGTAAAACTGAGAGTACCTAAAATGTATAGAAGTTTTGACTTAGTGGTTATATTCTGATATATTTTTAAATTTAATGCAGCTTAGTAATACTTACCTTAAACATTTTAGGTATCCTAGAGGCATAAACACCTTCCTCCAAATATGGTTCTAATACCTTTATCAGATAATTTGCAGCTTGTTTATTAAGCCAGAATTGCTGCCTAAATTGAGCATCATTTAGTGAAAAAGGGTTTTGAGTATCCCGTAACATTCTTCTTATCCTCCGTTGTGAGCGTCGGATATCTATCCTCTCTAATTCCTCCAAAACCAGCAAATGCCCGTAAAACGCAGCCATATTAATATTTTTGCCTCAGTCTTCCTTGCGAATCAAATAAAACACAACAACGCCTAAACTGAACTATTATCTATGACTGAACCTAACCTCGCTTCTCCCAGTCCCGCCAGTCATGTCAGATTAATTTCGACTCGAAATTAAATTTCAACCACTTTCTTAAACTTGAAATTAATTTCGATAAATCGAAAATTAGTGACGTCCTTTGATTAGTTCAGCTGAAATCCACAAGGCTCGCAAAGTCGCATTTCGAAGTCGCCATATTGATTTCAACATGTTTTCAGTCGAAATCTCAATTAGAATCAGGGCCCAGGCACCACAACTGTGGATGTTTCAAAAAAATTTAATTCCGTGAGGGCGACATATTTGGCCGAAGTCAAAAAGTAGTGGCTGTCCTTAAAAGTGGTGCAGGTGCTGACGATGTAAGTATTTTAAATCATAATGCAACTAAGCCTTCATATTACTGATTTGTCCTATACTGTGGTACAAGTA